TTAGACAAACCATTTTCCAGAAAACTTACTTTTTATAGAGTCACATAAACCTTATGGTATGCAAGGATAACAAACTTTCCAGTACAACAACTATATTGATCATATTATATTATTCTCGCATTAACCTGTTAACCTGAGGTGATTTATACCTCAATAAACAGGATTACATTTTCTCCGCAATTACGTGATCCTAGATATATTATGATGTAATTATTTAAAAACTCCTAAATAAATAGACAAAAAAGCTTTACACAAACTAACTAAACACTAGGATATATAGAAACAACAAATATTCTTGTCTTTTGTCTACCCAGATCAAACGATTGACCGATAAAATTATAATTAGGTTATGCATTTTATGCATCTATGACAATTATGAGTATTCGAAATATAAAAAAGGGAAGTGTACAGAAAAATTTAAGAACTTGCTCGATATATACACATACTGCCGATCAAAAGTTTGAAACAACTTGTTATGTAACGTCACAAATTAAAAATTATATATCTTATAAATATATAAAATAAAATAACAAAAATAATATATCATACTCTATCATACACAAAAAATCCTCTAATTAAAGTTGTTTACCGAAAAATGGAAACTTTTCTTCTAACCGATGTATTTCGTTTCCAAACTTATGATATATATATATATCGACTTTATATTGAACATGTTAAATTACTGCAGGAAATTTTAGCTAAAATGTTATCGAGACTAGTGAAAACATGGTCTTAGAAGCGAACTTGAGCACAAGTATTTCTTTTGTAATTCCCCAGAGTCATTCTGGTAACACTAATCCGTCAGCGCTGATACTAATACGGCATTGGATTCCCGAAGCTAATAGTTTGAGTGGTACCCACTGAACCGCAATACCTAAAGTGCGTAATAACAATATAACACCGTGTGATACAATGTCGAATCGATTTCAATTGAACGTTATTACATCCAGGTTAAACATGATCTCGTTTCGAATGCATTTCTCGACGACCCACAGTCTTTTTAGCAATGAAATAAATTAAAAAGGTTGAGGTCCATGAACCATGAATTGTTCTACTTTATAACACTATTAGGGGATTATATATTTAAAAAAAATAATGCTAGAAGTTTATTATAATTCTTAAGGCAGTTTTTTCCGACACATACCATTTGATAAAGATTTATCTATTTACATTAATTTTCGTATGTCGTGTTTAATATTATTGTGTTACGTCAATTAATTTGTTTGCAATTTAAGCGATTCATTCCAATTTTAACGCTATATTTATAGATTTCATCAATTTGACAGATGAATTTTGCAAACATGGTTTGCTAAAAGTTCATGCCAATTTTGGTTCACCAATTATATAATTATACGTATCTCAATTCTATACTTTTGAGATTTCAATTTTCGAGAAATTATACTGTATGGACAAACATCTACTTTTCTAGGAACAACAAAATAAAGGGTACAATAAAAGATAGTACGTCTAGTGTTAAAAGCGATCTCTAATGTCGACTGCTTCGCGCGCACCGTTATCTCGCAGTGTATCCATGGACCGGGAAACTTGCGCGCATTCTGAGAATAATGTGGATGGAAAATGTGTTCCAAGGCGTTAAGAAGTTCGCCTGCCTGTGGATCAACGGCGTCGTATTACCCCGCGAATACTTGATTTAACCCCAGCGCGTTGCACTGTGCGCATTGACAGCTTTATGCACAGCTGTACACAGCAGCCGGTGTGAATTACTTACGCAGGCTTTGAAATCAGTGGCGTTCGTGCAATTTTTTCAAATTTGTCTACACTAACTTTGTACTTGAAAGCATTATATACAACACATTCTTCGATAATTCATTCTTTTACGTATTCACGTAATATTTATATCATAGTTACAATAACATAATTAGACAAGAAATCTTTAGAAAATTCAAATTTTTAGAAATATTGCGGGGGTAATTTAAAAAAATATACATACGATGGGAAATTGTTTTTTCAAGGAATATAAAAACTTCTATAGTTTGAATACTTTATGAATTTCTTCGTATCATGTGCATTTTGTGGAATTTGGTATTTTTAAATTGTAAATTAAATGTATTCAGTTTGAATGAATTTTTAATTTCACTTCAGCACAGCTCAGATTATATTTTGTTTTAAAAATCTTTGAAATCTGGTGACTCAATGGTAGTTTTACTTTTTACTCCTGCATCTTTCAATTTCTATTAACTGGATCTCTTCTTGTGAAAAGAGTGAAACGAGTATCGAAAGATCGATAAAATAGAAAATTCACTTTTATCAGAATTTTCATCATCGTGCACTGGCATTCAATGCCAAAAGCTTTGGTAAATTGACAGCAGGCATAGTTAAGCTTTAAAGACTGGATCTTAGTGTCAGTGAGAAGAAAGTTTTAATACTGAAGGATGAACCATTATTTTGCATGGCGAAACCAAGAGAAAATAAGTTACGTACGCCGATAAATGTTTTATGAGTCCGAGGTTCTGTGGTATATATACTTAGCGAGTTAACGAGAAAGCGATGTCGATTTTTGATCGAATCGGGATAACATTTGTTTTATTATTAGTTAATTGAATAGTAAGAAGCTCGCGCGTCAGTGGATTTAAATGATGGAAAACAGTGGATGTTATGTAATTGCTTATGTAAAGTAATAACACCGTAATAAATTCAACTATGCATCCGCAAAAACTATATTACATTTCTAACAACCTAATATATAACTAGTTAATGATTTCAATTTAATTTATTCAGGAGGCACGGTATAAACCTGCGTTAATTGGATTATGAGGACGGTAGTAAATATTTCTGGAGACTGTCAACTTATAATTAATGTACTACCTACCTATTAAGTCGTGGTTTTACATAAATTTGGTAGACGAAAATTACCATCATGTTTCTAAAAGAAATTCTTTGGAATCTCACAGTTAATAAACATTTATTTAATAACCGGAAGACAGAAACTTCGATAAGAAGACGATCAATAATTGAGAAATATACATTAAAATTAAATGTTTAATATGACAAAAATTGTTCATCAAATATGCCGATATATTATTTATAAAAACTGTGGAGGAACTGGTGAAGGTGAACAAAATGAATTATAGAAATATTTTCCTCTATACTGTTTATTGACGTCGGTGTCGCGGAGATTCGTGATGTCGTAAGTAACGCGCGTAGAAGAATGAGAGTCGCTAAACTCTCGTCGGAAAATATATACTGGAGCGAAGAAAGAAAGAAAGATGGAAAAGTAGAAGAAGATCGAAAAGAAGAGAAAAGATTCGAAAGATAGAGAGGAAGAAGGATAACGGTGAAACGGCAAGTAAAGAGATGTGTAAGAAAGAATGGAAAGTTTCCAGGCCTGCAAGGGCCTGCCCGTCAAACTGGGCAGTTCCGAGCGAGGCCTGGAAAACCAAATGTGATCGCCAAATGTGTGATTGTACGAAGCAGACTCGCGCGAAGTAACAGTTATAAAGGTAGAAAGTGAAAAAGAAAAACCAGTGGCGTAAGGCAGCTTTTCGACCGCCACAAAACAAAATACTAATAGATAGAAGGAATTTGAAAATAGTGATATATAGTATATCTGTTAAATAATTATAGTAATTCATTAAATGAACTTTAATTTAAACGGAAGAAAGTCAGTGAAATTTATTTCTATGTCTCAACATTTATTTTCATTGGAAAATCGAGGAATCTAGAGCATATAATCTGTTCGAAAATTAAGATAATCCGAGCCATTCCACGCTCCATTTCACTTCGGTTACCAAGAGTAAATCGTAGGTGTAGGCCCGGCATGCACGCGACCCATATTCCTTTCTTGATCTTTAGTTTCTCGTTATCTTCGATTACAATTTTAATTACTTCGTCTATTTCATATTGGCTTCGGCAACTTTCACGCAACTATTATCGTTATATAATCTGTACTTTATTTCTCCATCGTAGCAACCCCCCCACGAGGAATTCCACAATGTTATCGAGTTTTCGAGACAACGAAGGTCGCGTGCCAAGATACACGAGGTGTAAAATTGAGGTGATCGTAATTCGCGATACCGTTCCGGAAGAAAAATAGGAGAAGACAAGCAGAACTGTCATGTGCTCGTTCGGCGTGAAAGTATCCGCAGGGAATTACCGGAAGATTTTAAAGACCAAGCCATATAAAGATATCTGTTATCATTAATTGCTTCCACCATAATTCATTCTTATCTGCAATATACAGAGATCATCTGAATCCTTTATTTACGTTTCAATTATTACAGTGCCAAATTTTCATCGTTAATCGTGAGCCATGATATACGACCGAAAATAAGAGAAACGTCGCTGCCGAAGTAGTTATATAGCGTTATACCCAAAATACCGAGCGTCCGTAATACACGGTAAGTATCATTTCTCTTCCCTGTTATATTTTATCTTATCAAGTGTAACATTAATTTCTTCACCTAATGGCTGCAACGTATCGATTACCGTTACATAAAACTTTCTTTCACCTGATTCAACCGTATAATCCACCAGGCGAGTACTGCGATGAATCGAAAACCGCTTTATTTCGGTTAAAAACAGTTCCATTATCGTCTGTGTCAAGCATTATCCGTTTCTACAAGAACAATAATCATTGAATTATCGTTCCCGTAAAAATGGTAAAACATAAAACATTTCTGATACAGGTTCTCTACCACGGTTACCGAAAAACGATCTCGGAATTCCTATTTAAATCGGCCATTAGCGATTCCGTTCCGCTCGACGCGTATAAATCTGCCGCTATCGGAGATAGTATCTTGTATCGTCTTTCATTTAACGCCCTGTAGATGCTTTCTACTTTCTATCCAGACACCGGTAACAACCTATCCGCTCGCGGAGGCCGCGGTCTCGTGTGCAAATATGAATTTCTGCACTTATCGCCGCGGCGGCGCGCGGCTCGCGGCGTTACGAGAGCCGCGGGACAGCGCATAGGTCGCGGCGCGTACACGCGGCCGCGCGCCGCTACGTAGAATGCATACATGTATAAAACGGGCTGGCAACGCGCTCGCTTTTGCATTACGCAAGAACCACGCCTAAGTCGAAGCTGTCGGTGCACCGATCGAAAGCCGATCGCCGCTGCAGCCGCGATCCAGAGCAATCTAACTGCCGTCCGATCTACTTCGTCTCACTGGTTCGGCAGTTGGACCGATTAGCGTCGGTGTCACAGCTTTGACGAAAACATGGAAAGGATGGTACGATTAGAAAACTGAGGTGGGAACTTTTGCCCTTTTAATAGTAAAACTACTGAGCGTTTAACACTAAACGTATGGGATGTTTATAATATATTTATTCCTACTGTGACCAGTCAAATAACTGGTTATAAAATAAAGGTAAAATAATTAAGGATCTTTCTTAATGGAAACGGAAGCAAAGGGAATGACGGAAATTGGAAAACTGATTTATTGAGTAATGTAAGAATTGATATAAAGTTGAATGGATAAAGGGAAATGAACAATGTTAAATCAAATAAAACCGGTCATTTGACTGGTCACGGTACGGTTAGTTTATATACGATTAACCCCTTGTTCTGTGATTTCTTTCATAGCTGTGCTTGATAAAATTATACTTCGTCATTCATAACTTAGGAGAGGAAGAAAAGAATGCCTTGCTTGTTCTCTGTCTACGTTTACTTTAAAGGTTAAAAATTGATAATAGACAAGTAATATTTCATTTATTAGAGAAATAAATAAATAATATTTAGATTTATTGAATTCCATTGAAAATTTTCATCACTTTTAATGTTTATAAAAATAGTTACCATACATTTTTTCGATGTCTTCGCATATTCACTAGAATTGTTCAAGTGAAACTATTTACTTTTAAAATCATTTCGAATATTTGATACTTTGAAGATGTCAATAATTACGTACTTGGAAAATTGAAATCCTTCATTTTGATGAGTGTGGTAGTTCTAGTGTTAACGTGTTGAATGTCACATCGGTACCCGTAGAAAAAACGGAAACTTAGAAGTCAAGTTTTTTCACAGTGATTGTATTCTCAACCTAACTCTCTCAACCAATCTCGTTCAACCTTCTTGCATGTTGTAAATCCAATAATATTAGGATCGTTTCATATGTCACCCAGAAAATTAAGGTTTAAATCTATAAGTAATACTGTGTCGTCGTTATATGGGTGACGTGACGGTCCACGCACTAAGGACGAATACCGTTAGATTGACATCAAACTTTCATATTTGTATTTGGCAACTGTATCACTTAATTACTTAAATAATAAGAGAACAATACATAGCTTCCACTTCGTTTAGTATTTAAAAATCTGATGTACAATTTAGTTTACTTTATTGAAACCTCAAATTCCATAAAAAATCCTTGTGCACAATCAGTTCATTGTATAGACATGAACGTTTACCAATACATTTTAATTTTATAGAAATTAGAATCGGAAAGAAATAAGTATTACTTTCATAATTTCAATAGTTATGAACGAAAACGAGAGAACAATCGAAAGAATTATTACTTTTTCGCTATTTAAAGCCGAAAAATTAAATATTATGAGAAGTTAAAGAAAACAGTACACGGATAAATGTAAAACTAATTGCGTAGAATCCAAAGTTTTTCATTGCCGATCGTAGAGACAAATATTAGAAGAATTTAAATATCGTTAAAGCGAAATCACTTGATTTTCTGGGGCAGTCCGCGATACCGGTGATGCATTAAATCGAATTATGTTCGATTCTACGATTTCGAAAAATGCACATCCACACGAATTATGTGGTATTATTTGGTTCAATTTTATCATGTCGCATATTTTGGGCTCTATGTTCCGTGCTTTATTGCTGAGATCGACTGTCATGATTACGAAATCCATATTCACTCGTTAAAAATGTTACGCTGTTAAATGCCTATTAACGGGCCCGCAGGAATCGGAAGTACGTTTATGACTTAAACTCATTTTGGGACCACCGATCGATGATCAGATCGTAATTCGATCCATTAATCCTTTCAACATCCAGTTGCAGCGAAATATTAAACTTCGAGAGACAACACAATTACCGTGTCAATATTAATAACCAGGAAACTAGACTGTCCAAAAAATTCTTCTTTTTAACAAGACCGTACTGTAATATTACTTTTCGTCAGATAAGTAGACTAATAATTAGACCAGAAATTATACTGATAATTGGACTGCAAAGTCATGTTTTCGTCGTTAAGAATCGCGAAATTACGTTTTCTATATTCATAGCTTCAACAGGTTGAAATAACATGACGCAAATTCGTATTAAAGTTTCCATTTTATTACTGATTACACGTGACAGCCAGTATCAATATAAAAATGTTTTCTACGCTTAATAGATCACTAATTACTGTAACAGAATCTTATTTTATCTGATCGAATACTTTTTGCCATACGTATTATAGCATCTCCCAAGTTACCACGACTTTTTGTTCCGAATTAAAAGATAATGAAATCTTTCGTTCTTGTCGTCGTAAGTAACAAATTTCGACCATAAATGATCAATTTCTAAAAACTTCGCTGTTCCCAGAAGTCTACATTAACTCGTTGCGGTCAAATGCTACTATAATACTGACTTTTAACTTTGATATTTAAAATAAACTACTGCAAATGATTACTTTAATTATTCAACTAACGAGAGATTGATAAGTGGGTTTTTTTACCACTACCTAAGATTTCGATGCATAATTCTGTCTTTTACAGAATGACCTATTACAAATCTATCCTTGCTGCATCCCTTAATTTATCGATTCATTTGATATCATATCACTAAAAAAGATAGGAACAAACAGACTAGTAACAAGTTTGCACAATCAACCTTTAACACTAAAAATACTGAGCAATTAGAGTGATTTATTGCACAAATACACAAATTTAATGAAGAATTTCTTACAGAAACGCCTTCGTAACCTGAATACTTGTAAAGTGAAGATTCCGAAGTGGGTCAATTTAACTATTAGTGTTAAGTATGGACTATTATGCAATTGGCACTATTAGCTACCTAGAGATATTGAAATAAACCAAAACAAATAAATACAGTTAATTGTTTTATTAATAACTACAAACCAAAATATTTAACATTAATCGGTAATTTTCAGACTTCCGTACTTAAAGGTTAACCCGGAAAAGACTAAACAGACGAAAGGATTATACGAAGGCAACAAAAAGGAACGCAGTGGGATTAAAAAATTCTCGTCGATGCAACAGCGACCGAGCTGCCCGTTCGTTCGGTCTTGCTTGAAAAACCAGCGTCGATTGCAGGTTGTAGTGGCTGACCAGTCTGCAGTTCGCTCCATGTCGTGATGGGTAACCGCCGATTTCGTAAAGTAGCTACCCTAGTCCGGATCAAGCGTGAATTTCGAGGCGTGATTACGACAGAGAGCAGGTGGCCGCCGTTTATCGGGAAGGAAGTCACGCGTGCGGAATTCCTCGTCTGCTGAAACGCGATCGGGGTCGCTGGATGTATACGAAAATGAAAGACGGTAGATTTCACTCGCGGTCAGGCGACTTCCTGGCTTTCCCCGCGGAATGTTTACACGCTTGCACGCCGGGATCGCGAGACGAGCGCTTCTCGCGTTCGCGCCCATAACAAGTGCCACGGCGCTCTCCGTAGATCCGATCAACGGCGTTCGTTCGATCGATCGATCGATCGATCGGCCGCACGTCGGGATCATACCTTGAATTGATGAATTTGGTTCCGTGTGGACGCGCCCGAACAACACGCGACCTTTGCACAAAATTTCCTGTAGGCGCGCTAGAAAACAACGATTTGCATGTGCACGCTCCGCGGCGTTACGTAAAACGACAGGCGCGTGGCGATCACGAGTGAAATCGGACTAAAATGCTAAAGTGGAAATCAAGGTTCAATAACTCCGTTATTCACCGGCTCGGCAACTGTCGGGACAATTCAGCACCCTGAAATATTGGAGGCAGTCCCCGTCACGTGAAATTATGTTGGGTTCCTTGGTCTGTGGCTATTATTCGGGTTTAGTGGATTTTGGAATACGGATACCATGGAATTTTGTTTTAGGTTGTATGAAATATTTCTGATAAGAAAATTAGTCTGGTGGAAAGATCTTGTCGCTTCACTTTTCAATGTGACGTTTATATTATAACGTGTAAATAAATATTACAAGTATGTAAACTAAAAGACGACAGAAAGCATTAGAATAAAATTTGCAGTTCGGTAAACTTTCATTCAACGAAATGAAATTTTTCTTTATTGATATGTATAAATATAAATAGTCTGTGAGAGAGGATGTTTTTCAGGTAATAATTTGTATGTATATTTGAAGGTGTTCATGATAATATAGAAGGTGAGTCACCTAACATTGAACGTACAAAATTTGTATTGATCTTAGTACGTTGATTATTATCAAATATACATGTAAACTCATTGGATCAATACAGAAACTGATCGTTTAATTTTTATTTTTCAATGTATAAGGGTAATTTTTATGTTTATTATTCCCTATAAACTTACAATATAAAACCACTGAGTTATAAATGTATTTGTCGTGCAATCTATAGTTTCTAAAGTATTTAAAAATGTATATTTTCAGCTTCGAACTTTAAGGGTTGTTCTCACGCTTTTAATATAGAAGATACTCAATAACAGAGTATATATGAAATATTTTTCAGAGAACAGTCCTCAATATAAATTTTATAAAGATAAATCAATTCAGATTTAACTTTCTTCATTCTTATCATTGGATTTTATCGAAATATCCATGGTGATGATGAAAATTCAGTTGAATTAATGGTGACTGAAAATGAATAAATCAAAATTTTAAAAGGGACTGTAGAGTAGTATAAAAATAAATAATTTAGAGTGATCCAAAATGAAATATATGGAGATAGTAAAAGTTGTATGGAATGCTTAAAAATAGGAAACAAGAAAAGAGGATAAAACACTGCAAAATATAAAATTTGATGTAGAAGTGGAGAAGTGAGATACAACATCAAAGTTGTAAAAAGTACCAGAATAAAATATATAAAAGCTAAAAATGGAATAAACTTTTCACAAAATATTTTTACACGGTATATTCAGTTACTATGAACTACATAGTTAGAGCCTTTCTTCTTTTTATATCTTCCCCTCTTTCATTTTGTGTTTACATTAACGTCCTCATCAAACGTAAATTAATTAAATATTAATGATTTCATTTATCCGAATAATGTCTTTACAAATCTGACTGCAGCGTGTTACCACACTTTCAAAATTGCGATTAAACCTATGAACGTTCATTGACCACGTCAGAACTACTTACGCTATTCAAAATTATGATAACTTCGAACATGTCATGTACAGTGTTCTAGATACAGTTCTGACCAACAAATCCGCAACCAGTAGGAATGTAAATTTCGGTTATAGAGCACACATTGACTTCATCCTCCCGCATAACGCATTATTAGCTCAACCGAGCACATTGTAAATGCACGATTAATTGGTCAGTCGTTACTAATCAGGTCTGTATCACAAATTTTTAATGCAAAAGAGGAACACTTCATTGTTAGTTTGAAATCTACGGAACGGTCTATAAACACAGTTTCATATACTGCAGCCAGAATTTTTAAAATACGTGATAATAAAGGAACCGTGAATTTTATGATGTATCGTTGATTGCTATACAAATAAATGTGAATGTATTTTCTGTTATAAATGTATTTATTGAAATCAAAAAGTAACAAAACGTATTTAAACAAAACATAATTTAAACGGTTTTAAATTAAAAAATGGAATTAAAAACAAATAAGGAAATGATCCATCAATTAAATCAGTAAATAGTATAAAATTACAGTGTATTTTTGAATTTTTGTGAATTACACAATGAAGAAAAATTCGCAGATACAATTTAACATGTTTTATGTAACATGATATTAAATTACAGTAAACTGCAATAAACTGCGATTTAATAATATACATGAGATATTATATAAATCATCTCTCCATTACGTAAATTAATAAAGTTGTAAGGTTCTGTGCTAAATAAGCACCGGAATTCGATTACAAAAACAGAATGGAAAATACGCGTGTAATTCTCTAATCCAGAATCGACTCGAAATCTACGCCATTGGGGAAACGCTAAAATAACAAGCGTGGAACCGTAACGATCTTCAACGTTGCAGAAATTCACGCGAGAACGGAACGTTGCAACTTTGAGCCTGATATTCTGCTAGGCTGCTCGGTCAGGAAGCGCCCGATCCGATTTCGAGATGGTCGATGTTTCTGAACGCATCCGGTTGTATTTTTATCTCTCTCGTTACAACGTTTCGACATTTCCACCGGTTGCCAGTCATTCCGAGAAATTTCTTGCGCCACGTGTAATTATATTATTAACGGGACAATTCATTTTGACCGTGGAAATTTTCGTTTCACGCGCTTTTGTTGTCTGCCGTTCCGCGCAATCGTGTAAAACCGGGCGAACGGACGGTTTTGCGCGGCATAACAGTCGAATTATTGACGCGGCGAAATCGATTCACGTGTCTGTCTTTCTTCACCCCTTTTTCATCACAATTTCTTCCGGACCGTTCAATCATTGGAGGTCTGTGTTCTGAATGTTGAAAACGGTGAAATCATTCTTCAGCTATCACTCGGTTGAAAACGTAACGTCCAGCCTGATCAATTATTTTTCACTGTGGGTAACGATTCAATTTATCCATGTACAGAATCCACGGTAATTACTGGTACAATGGTCTATATGATAAATGTAATACTGCAAAGACTTTGTCTTTAGAGAAATTGATAAAATACCAACATGTATATACTATAATCCATAGATATTTCCTTTGACAAAGTACAAACGAAAACAGTTTTCACTTTATACTGCAAAGTCCTTCCAATATTCTAACCTCCGTGTTGAACGCACAATTTAAGGTTGTGTAATCTTGTGTAAATGCACAAATACTCTTGTCTACCTCTCAGATAATTCAATTTACTATAACTCACACCAAAACCCATTTTTCTTCAATCCATTAACCTTTTAGTTACAGCGGGACTAGCCGTGAAGCTACACCTTTGTACGGCAAGCTTTGACGTAGTCTGCGTATCATAAATCTAGTATTGCGATTTGAGACTGATAAAATTTTCCACTGCACAATTACGTTAGATTAGACTATAATGTGCACAACTATCGATGACAGGTTTTAGGTTTAAAAGTGCCGAGAGAACTCTTCCAGTTACGACGCTCGAGCCGCCTAGGCTTTCGACGCATGGTCATTATTGGTGCCTCAACCAAAATAACAAAAAACAGAAGCGAGACGGAATGCGATGAAGTGAGACGTAACAATAGAAAACAATATTCTCTATAGTTGCACTTAAACCTAAGGCCGCGATAGCTACCATGAGGGCTGTACTGTAAATAATCCAATATCAAGGATCCAAAAAGAAGAAAATACCGCAGCTCGTGGTGTTGCCCTGTTGCTTTCTAAGATCGCAAATTGTATGCACCGTTGGCTGGACAAGGTCTCGACTGGACTCGGAGGAGGAGAAGAGTTAATCGAGCGTGGATGACGCTGAAGAAGAAATTATCCGGAGCGACGGGAAAAAACGCGGTCGATCCGCGGCGTGAACCTAGACGTTCCCCCCCATCGGGTCTCGCGCCATTTTTCCTGCTCGCTCCCACGAGCGTCGCTTCTTTGTCTCTTTCTTGCGCGCCACCTCCGAAGCCAGTTGAAATTAACGACTCGGAAATTCTAATTCAATGGCAAGGCTGCCGGAGAGGAGAGCGGCGGACTTTCTTCGGCTCGCGGCTTCCTGCCACGCTGGGTCTCGTCCTCCCGGCGCTCCGGCCGCTTCCTACTTTTTGTCGCGCGCTTCCTTCGTCGCCAGACCTCGAGAAAGAGTTCCCCACCCGTGAAGGCACGGATCTGCGGAACCAGCGGCTCTCCGGCGGACCAACTCGCCCATGGAAACGAGCCGCTCATTATGCCGAGGAATTTTTACCTGGAGGGTTACTCGAGATAAGTCCTTCGTTCCTTGCAACCCTCCCTGTCTCTAACTCCGAGCTTTCTGACTTATTAATGGCGGGAAGGATTACCATCGCGGCTGGGAACTATGGGTTGATTGTTATTGGGATAGAAATAAAGTGTATTTCAACGCTGCATACTCTGAGGCAGTTGCTTACGGATAGTTGGAAAGTATTGAATATACGTTATTTTTTGGTGTCTAGGAAGGTTTTGGAATGTTATTTGTTTTTATTTATGATTTGTTAATAGCGGGAGGATTGCTATCGAGGGTGGGGTCTATAAGCTGATTGTTATGGAAATGAAGTGTATTTCAGGTTTGGATATTCTAAGGCAGTGACTTAAAATTAGTTGGAAAGTATGGAAATATGTTATTTCTGCCGAATGGACAATTTTTATAATATTGTCTTCATTTATAGTTTCAAGGTAGGAAAAGCTATTAGGGGATCAATTTTGAAAATTTTGATTTGTGAAGGTATTACTGAAAAAGATGTGGAAACTAAATGCTTCCGCATGCGGATACCTTGAAGTCCTGGGGCTGTCACAGAATTACCATTCAAATCGAAATGTTTCTGAAAGGAGTGAATGGAGAATTTTTTGTAACTTTTGCTTACCGAAATATGAATGTACATTACAAGTACTATATAAGAGTACAAAATGGGACTTATAGAAGGTAAAATAATTTTGTAACAATTGTAAAAAAATATTACACCTAAAATAAAGAATTCATTTTAAAAAGTACAAGGCACATATTTATATTTTGTGTTACTTTGTAAGTAGACTACTCTTATTATTAAAATAAATTCCACAATAAAAAAACTGGTCAGAAAGCATTAACTCCTTGCCCTATGATTTCTTTTCCAATTGCTCTCAACAAAGATATTTTATTGTCTATAATTCATTAGAAAAAGAGAAAAATTCTATACTTATTCTATGTCTACTCGGAAGCATTACAATTAATAATAGAAAAATACTGTTCAATTCGGACTTGGAAGAATTAAGCGATATTTATATTTGTTAAATTCTATTTGAAATCTTCACTACGAGCCTGATACGATATTGCAGGCCATGGGGTTAACTACGCAAAACAGCAATTACTCACATATACATACAAACGAGCTGACAGAGAACGTACTATTAATACACCACTCAAGCTCATTAAACATGGGTTGATTTAGCTCTCCGAAAAACCATTTATATTTCAACCGCGCTTCCATCTGTGCTTCGAAACGCAATTACCGCAACACAAATGGAATTCCACGTAAAAAATCATTCCACGCGTTAAGGCTGAAAGGTATCCTTTCATTTCCGGTCACGCAGGAATAATTGCCGAGCGAAGTTCAACAACAATATCTCTCGTATCCGTGACACGCTCATTGTCAGCCACTTCACCCCTTAATTGGCGGACAGGTTTCTTACATGTTCCGCCAGCCAGTTTAAATGTTCTACTCCCCGTGCACGCGCGGCGCGAGCGGCATAAGTGATCGTTCGCAAAATGTCACACTTCATTTAACTGTAAAACGAGGCTTTTGACATAGTTCGCAGCAGTTTCACGCAACGGGCGCGGCGTGCGGCTATTTTCAGCGGTACGACGGGGACGCGAAAAAATCGCCGGTCTTTCCGCGGTCGATTGAATCCGCGAGGTCGCTCGGACAAAGAAAGGAATCCGGGAAATGAAAGGAACTACGCGCGGCGCGTTTAAGCGGGTGCGCAGCGCCCCGAGTTTCGGGTGTTTTTCGATTTTAATTAGACCGGCTCCTCGCGGAATGCGCGGGGTGACGTAACCCGAAGCCGGGCAGTTGTGTAAAGTCACGGTTTATATATTTTCACGAGTGAAAAGCGGAGAAACGGCCGCCGCGCCGCGGTATAACAGACCGGCCGATGCAATGATTTATTTCGAGCAACGGATCGCGAACAGTTTTTATACGGGAAATCACTGTCTCGTATATTACCGTTCCGCGAGTAGTTTTCTCGCGGCGGAACGTTAATTATTATTGTTTCGAGCTGCGGATACGAATAATATACCCGCA